GTAGTGTTCTTCCTTTCCTTGTCCATTTTTTTAATCTGTTTAAAACAAAACATCAGGGACTTTTAACCTTGAAACACACTAAAACCTTCACTTGCTTATTTTCTAATAAACTCTCTTTTAATCTAAGACTGAGCACGCAAAAATTCTTGCCTTCTCTTGTATTAGCTGGCCTTTTTCTGTGAAAGTTGGTGTTCCAGGCTACAATCATCATAAAGCTCTATTAGAATTTAAAATGAGAGATCATTTGAATGTCACATTGCTTGTTTATAGCAAACAATTATAAGTTTGTACAGATTTATCATTCTAAGCTAGTTTAACTTCTTTATAATTTTCTAGTCGTCTTTCTTGTTAGGTTACCTGCAGAGGACACATTTTATGGCTGTAAGGGCAAATAAACACTTTCTGCCCTTGAGGCTTGCCTCAGTGATGATGAAAATGTCTGGATATCGACAAAAATGTACATTTCATTCCTTGTACTAACAATTCTTTTTCAAGTTATATTTTTTTCAACTGTTTCAAGTTATATTTTTTCATTAACCCACTTCAAAAACTTGATGTTTATGTTGTAAGTGCACTTAATTGAGGATAATAATATTGGAGCAAACAAATTCCTTATGTGTTTCCACTGAAGACTCTGCAATTGCACCTGAAATGTTGTTGGTTCCCAGTCTGTAATACCATGCCTTTCAGTCTGCTGTCAGAAAAAGTGTATAATACAACTGAGGAGTCAGTAAATCAGTTACCTATAATATTTCAGAATATTATTAATCAAGCAGTATGAGAGACAGGAACTATTACATGCTAGGTTGTTTCAAGCCCCATACATGTTGTATTTCATGGTGTATAAGTTGACCCCTTTTTGCTGATCCAGAAAGTTAGAATTTTCCTAGATCTAGTGTATAAGTCAACCTAACTTTCTGGATCAGAAATATGGGGTTGACTTATACCAGCCCCTGTGCACCATCCCTGCAGGCTGGGCACTCAGCGCTGCTCGCAAGGGATAGGGGTGGGCTTGGCGCCTAGCTGGTATGCCTCAGGCAGCACCACTTGCAGGGGATGAGGTTGGGCTCGGCGCTTGGTTGACGCGACCCAAACAACACCACCTGTGGGGATGGGGCTTGGCTCAGTACTCGGCTGGCATGGCCCAGGCAGTGCTGCTTGCAGGGGATGGAGCTGGGCTCAGCAGTCAGCTGAGCGGCATCTCCATGGTGACAGCAAGGCCCACAGGTCATGCTTGGGCTGGGCCTGGGCCCCTTGGCCTCCAGTGACACGGATGCCATCTCATGGTAGGTGAAGAAGGATGGGTCATTGGGGGCTGGACAGGGATTTGGATGAGGCTGGGGGTCAAAAGTATTGCTATGGTGTATAAGTCGAGGTGGAAATTTAAAGGTAAATATTTTGGCTTCAAACCTTGACTTATATTCCAGAAAATATCACTAAACAGACTTTCAATAACTTCAGTAGGTCAGGCCTTCAAATCCGTGGGCAGGAGTAACAGCTGGACAGACTCTCAGGTATATTTTCCAGCACAACCTAATTCCTTACAGCAGTCCCTGAACATATGCTCTCAAGTGCCAATAAATAAATTGACCCATCATAAAAAAGGAGGGACTTCCTTAGCCTTAAATTGCAATGCTTTGTTTTTAAAGCGGGGCAGGCCTGACAACAAATTTGCTACTCTTGGATTTTGCTTTTGATGTATTCATTCTCAAATGCTATGAAGCTGCTAACTTGCAGATAAGCTGTTCTACCTATAGATGTCTCTGTGCTGCTGTAGAAGTGCCACAACTATCTTTGGGTGTAAATATGGGCGACAGCATATTTTGTTTGTTTAGTAGCACGAGGCTTTTTAACCTTACAAATACACATTGCTTAAAAAATGATGAGGCTCCATATTAGTGGTAAATGATGGGGAACAGGGGCCACTGGTTTGGGGTAGATAGGTGTCAGATAGCTTTGAGAATAATTCTGTGAAATGGCTTTGTGTGGTTACCTATCCACTTGTTAATGATTTACAATTAAGGTATTCAGATTACAAATAGTTTTTTTTCTTTGAACTGCCAGTTGTGCCAATTTTATCTTAAAGCTGATAAATTAAGTAGGCTTTTCCTCTTTTTCTTCACCACTAGTAATAGATTCTGCAGGCCAGATTTTGTCTTTGGTAACTCTTGAGCAACCCCACTGTTGCCAGTGATGCAGCTGATTAGAATATAGGAAAAAACTCTGAGGACATACTACAAGTATACATACCTGTATGTTGGCCTTACAGAGCTAATAGGAAGGAAATGCAGTATGAATATTTATAAGAAAAATACACAACAGGTCAGATTTTCAGCTGCTCTAAATTTGCCTCCCTCCATTTGGGGTTGATGGAGCTATGGCAATCTATAGCAGTAGGGCAGAGGCATAACTAGCAGGTTTTATGCCCTAAGCAAACCCTGCTTGAGGTGGGGGAGGGCAAGCCCTGGAAAAAAATGGGGGGGGGGGGGGG